CTAAATGACTCGAGTTTTGGCAGTGATTACATAAACTGCCAAATAACAAAGTTATTTGGCAGATGACGTATCACTGCTAAATAACTCGAGTTATTTTGGCAGCACAATCATAATAAGCTGCCAGATAATAATATTTATTATAATGTATTAGTATCATATTACAATATAATAATATGAAAAATTATAGAAAAGTAATGAAAAAAATTAGTAATTACCTTTATCCTTTACTTGATATGGTTTTCTTGGTTTTTTTGGAAAATATTGGCAAATTAGTTAAAGGTTTAGATGCTTCTAGTTCTGTTTGTAGAATATTGGTTTGCCTATTAAAGAAATTAAATTAAGCTAACTTAATAATTAATAAAATAAAGAGATCAACACTTACTAGTTAATAGTCTTTTGGGCATTTTGGTTCTAAACAAAAAAGATAAATTTTCAAATTTATTTATATATAAATTATTTATATATATTATATGTGTATCAGATGTATCTGATGCAAGCATGAATCTAATAAGAACTCAAGAGTCATAATTATTGCGATCAAAGAACAATAGCATAATAAGAAAATTCTATTAGCTATTTACTGCTATTGTTGATATGTTAATAAATCAAAAACAATACAGTATATATATGATCAGAAAAACAATAGTGTTTCTAATCTGAGACACAACTTATGTGTACATAATAATTATTTGATAGTCTAATGATATCATGTGATTTTTTCATATATAAATTAAAATATGCATAATAAAATCAGAATTTTTTTATTCTTTGTACATTTAACAAAAAATTTAAAATTCGAATACTTTTGCATACAATTTTACAAAGTGTGATATTGGAGTGATGTATGAGAAAAACATAATACATAGAAAGCAGTAATGTAAAAATAACTATAATCTTTAAATTCTTATTTACAAGAAAATACACAAACTTATCCTAGTACTAGTTTTTTTTCAAAATCTCAGATCTTGTTTCCATAATTGGCTTTTTGTTCTAGTTTCTTCTTTATATATATGGTGCTATGTTCACGTTTAGAAATAGGTTTAAGAAAAGTATACCACAGCAGTTCTACGATATATATCTGCATGCCAAAAAAACATCTTTGGATGATTTTAAATTTTATAATAACTTGGATCATAGCAATGCTGACTTGAATTATATATACATGCAGGATAACAACTATAATAATTAACAATATACTAACAATAATAATAACTTATAGTCTAACCAGTATGCCCAAATTTTTAGTGATAATTAGCAGTCTGAACAGAATACAAATTTGAACCTTGGTCAAGAATTTGATGAGTTGATTTATGATAATTCAGAAGATATATCTATGTCTAGTGAAAATGGATTTAATACCGATATTGATTGTAGTTCAGATAATGAAAGTGAACTGATTTCAACTAATATAGATATCTACCAAAGATATTTGATGGAACAAAATCTGATTTGAATTGGAATTACAAATGCTTATTTGAGCCTTTTAATAATTTTACAAACCTTGCAATATTTATATAAGCCACCAAGTATATGACTTGTAAGTATTGTAATTTGATTCAAACTTAAAAAATTATTTATCTTTTTTTTCTTTTTTTTAGCACTACAGCTTACCATGATTTAGTACAAATTTTATGTCATTCTAAATTTAATATAAATCATTTACCTACTAATTTGCAAAGTCTCAAAAAGCAGCATGAGCAGCTACTATTAATAAAAATTCATAGTCATATAGTCCCAATAAATATTAAAAGTACCCCTTCAACCATTAAAGATTCTACACAAGTCTACTACTTTTCTTTAATAAAGCACTTTCAACAAATATTAAAAAATCTATCTCTTAGCTTCCAATTATATTTTGGGTCTGGCATCTTTTCAAAATCATGTAAAGAACTATGGGAGAGTGATCTCTGGGCCGAATCTCCTCCTTTTGGCAACCAAATTTATCAATGGCACAAGATATATAAATATATATTACCTTTATTTAGAGTTGCCAATCAATGCTTTATATATTTCTATATATTTTTATTTAATAATTTTATTCTTAGGTTTATTTAATTGTGGTGATTTTGTTTGTTACAAATCGACTTCAAAAACTATAGAAATTGGTCAAATCTGATCTTTTATAATCATTAATAAAAAAATAACAGTTAAAATTTAATAGTTATTTTTTTATAGAAAAACTTTACAATATTTAAGCTCAAAACAACACATTTTACACTTATCACAAGAACTATATTTAGTTGAGGAATCTAATTCTTTTCTTATTAAACTCTCATCATTAATTTGTTATCTTAGCATTTGGTTAAAAGATCAACTAGCTCTATAATTGATTTCTTTGTAAATCAAATACTATATAATTATAATAGTTGATAGAAGCTTTGCTTAATAAAATTACACTATCAACATCTAGCTGAATGTATACTCAGTAAACTACCATTAAATTTAAATATGCCTGTCTTTAAATTTTATTTAGTTCTATATATTGACAACTTTGGTACATTTTGCAACACCTATTACTCGTTGGGTAGCATACACTTACAGATCGGCAATATGTTACGACAGTTAAAAAAACAGCTAAAAAATCATTTCATAATTGGATTAGTGCCATTTGGTGGAAATCTTAAAGACTTTATACCATTTTTTATTAATAAAATAACCAATTAGAGCAAGGGTTTACTATGAATATAAATGATGTTGATTGTTGAATTTCAAGTAGATTAGCTATAGTTACAGCTAACTTACCACAGGAGAATAACATTGCAGATGTTTTGCAGCATAATGCTAATATAAGGTGATGTAGCTATAAAGCTTCTAAGGATAAATTAACTAATATATTATTTGATATATATTTCAATAGTCAATTTTATCAAATAACAACTCTAGAATTTCAAAATATAAATAAACAATCAACAAACATGGCACAATTACAACTTTGTTCACAATATGGATTACAGTTATTGCCAGGATTCACTCGATTCTATTCTTCATAACCATTATTAACATACTCCTCAAGATATATATTATGCTATTGCAGAAAAAGTAACATATCTTTTTAATTGTACTTGTCTTATTTTAACATCACAAGAGGAAAACAATTTAATTAAATACTGGAAGTACTTTGAAGTTTCAGTGAAATGATCACGTTTACCAAATCCAATTTCACATATGCATTTATTTATGATATCTGATATTTTATGAATTTTAATAATATTTCTTTTTATATTAAAATATTTTTTAAAAACCAATAATATAAAGACTAATTTTTTAGAAGAACCAAAACACGTTTAGGTTTTTTTTGCCAAACAGAAGTCATAAATTATCTGATTTGGGCTTGAGAACTTTCTAAAAAGGCCAGCAAAAAGGCCTTCTCATTAGCTATTAATAAAACAGATAGATATTTCTAGCTTCAAAAAGCATTAAACAAAAAACTTAAAATATTAATAAATGTAATTTTTTTTATTTAATATTGCTATTATTTTTTATTTTTATTTTTGAATTTAATTTTTTTTTATGTGTTAGGGAGCTGACAATTATCAAGTGATTTTCTGGGGGTGAGTCAAAAAAATTAGAATTTTATATATGAGACCTGATAATTTATATATTAAAAACTAGGGGAGTAAGCCTCTGATAAAAAAAAATTAGATAATAAATAACACTGCCTTTATTTAAATCATTTTAAGCTATTTTCAGATAACTTTCAAAATCTTCTAAACCTATATATTAATCGGCATATAGTAAATTATGTATACCAATATTCAACATGCATTAATACGACAGTTGATATAAAAGAAATAGTGCATCAAATTTTTAAATTGATCATACTACATACAAACAAACATGATCTTGAACTTACATTACTCTGGCAAATTAATATATTACAAACATTAAGATATTTAGTAGGTGGTAGAATAGATGTCAATATGACAATACAATCTATATTTAAAAATCTATTTATTGAACCAAGATTATGCTATTTATTATCAAAATAGTGTATTGATGTCAGTAACTTTTTAATACATACTTCACAAAACTATGATCAAGATAATATTATTTATATTGTATATATATATATATATATATATTTTATACTTCAGCTAAGTCTTGCCGTGGCCAACTATCCCTACTAACCACCCCTCTACAGAGGGGCAACTACAAATTAAGTATTTCTACCATTAGGAGTTTATTCAGAATAGGCTCGACCCTACCCGGTTGCCTATTCAGATATCTAGAACCAACTGCCTACACCGTCCTCCAGAGAAATTGGATCACCTTATTATTGTACTGGACTTTCACCAGCCAATCTAGTGTCACCATAAGTTCTTGTAGTATCTTTATCAGACTTGGCCTCATATTACATCTCGTGACTTTGGTTATTCCAAATTGGGGTTCTAACATGCCTCACTTCACAGCCACAACTTCTCAGAATAACTATTCTCCAAATATGTCTATCTTTAGATATCCTGGGTTCTCTGTACTCTGCGGTGTTTCACTTCCATTTTTGAATTTTCATTAATCTGCTGTTGGGAGGAATTGAACCGGCAACTATCCAATTTGCAA